AAGGTGGAGGGTCAGAGAAAAAGAGGAAGACCCCCAGCAAGATGGATTGGCAAAGAGGCAGCATCAATGGGCTGAAGCATGGCAACAACAGTGAGATTGGCCCAGGACTGGGCAGTTTTTCATTCTGCTGTGCATAAGGTTGCTATGAGTCAGTACCTACTAGATGGCACCTAACAACAACAACAAGGTAACTTACATAAGTCAAGGTGTATATCTATACTATGCAGCTGCTTAAAAGAATATCTCTATGCACTGACATAGAAAGATATCCTTAATTTGTTTGGTTAAGAAAAATCAAATGGTAAAATGTATAGTATGATCATATTTTTCTATGAGGGTAAGAAAGAAAAGGATTGCACAAAATAGAAACCTTTATTAAGCAAAAATATCAAAACATGAGGCTATTGTTTCTAAATACATTCATCTAGGCCCATACACTTCTAAAAGTAGTGTTTCCATCTCTCTAACTACAAGGTCAGTAGTTCGGATCTACTAGCTGCTCCTTGGGAGAAAGATGAGGCTCTGCTTCTATAAAGATTAACAGCCTCAGGAACCCTATACAGGGTTGCTATGAGTCAGAACCAATTTGATGGTACCACACCACCACCACCACTTAGAGTCCTGGTGTGGCACTGTGGGTTAATGTGCTGGACTGCAAAGTTGCTTTTACCTCCAAGGTCAGCAGTTCAAGCTCACCAGCCACTCCTTGGAAACCTTATACAGGATCGTTATGGGTCAGAATCAATTCAACAGCACTGAACAAAAACAATGACCTGGTGTGGTGCTGTGGGTTAATGCACTGGGCTGTAAAGTTGGTGGTTCAAGCTTACCAGCCACTCCTTGGAAATCCTATACATGGTTGCTATGGGTTGGAACCAATTCAATGGCATTTGACAACAACAACCCTTTCAGCATGCAAAAGCTGAGCAATGAATAAAGAAGACTGTAGAAGAATCTATGCATTTGAATTACAGCGTAGAAGAATATTGAAAGTACCATGGAGTGCCAAAAGAACAAACAAATCTTTGTTGGAAGAAGTGCAACTAGAATGTTCTTTGGAAGCAAGATGGTGAGACTTGGTCTCACGTACTCTGGATGTGTTGTCAGGAGGGAGCAGTTCCTGAAAAGCACGTCATGCTTGTCAAAGTGGAGGGTCAGCCAAAAAGAAGAAGACCTCCAACGAGATGGAGTGACACAGTGGTAGCAACAATGGGCTCAAATAAAACAACAATTATGAGGATGTTCATTCTGTTATACAAAAGTTTGCTATTACTTGAAACCAACTCAATGGCACCTAACAGCAACAACCCTTACCCCCAAAATTCTACACTCCTCAATTTACACTGTATCACAATGGCAATTCTGGCATCCCCGGGGGTCTCAAATCATGTTCCTTTTAAGTTTGGGCAACAACAACAACAACCAAAGTACAAGAGCAGGGCTGTAGGATGGATGGAGTAAGGTTTCAACAAATTCTTAGAGGACAACCCTTGCTACCCTCAAAGAATTAACAGGGACATTATAATGTAAAAACAAAAATTCTCAGCACAATTTCCTTGCCCTTTTTCTCACCAATGCAATTTTCAATTTTCTGAAAGCTTCTTCTTAATAAGCCCTCATAATTATCTTTTGAAGACACCTTAATGAGGCTAAGACAAGTGCATGACTGAGAGAACTTGTCTGCAGTCACCCATTGATTGTAAGGACATGTTTCAAATATATTTTGTTTATAATAAATCCATGCATATATGAACTGGAACCCTAGTAGTGATACTTTTTGACTTACCCTTGTATGTTGTTGTTAAGTACCATCAAGTTGGTTCTGACCCATAGCAACCCTGTATAGGGTTTTGGAGGAGTGGTTGGTGGGTTTGAACTATCAGTTTTTAGGTTAGCAATCCAGTGCATATCCTATAGTGTCACACAACCCTTGTATATGTCTGTGTATATATATTTATGTACATCCAGAAAGAATTATACAAACTGCTAGCAAGGCTTATCTCTGGTAAATGGAATTCAAGGAAGTGAGGCAGCAAAGCAAGCTTTACTTTAAACCATTTAAGATTGACTTTTAAAACAAAACACATTCCATTTATAGTTAAAATAACAAACAAACCCTAGCATCTATTCTTCTCTTTAAGTCAGAACTGACTTGATGGCTGCTGCTGCTGCATGCCATACAGTCTGAAGCTGTAAACCTTTATAGGAGCAGAAACTCTCATCTTTTTCCCATGGTGTGGTGGGTAGACCAGAACTGCTGACCTTGTGGTTGTCAGTCCAATGTGTAACACACTACACTACCAGAGATCCTTTACTAGAGGGCTGTTGTTGTTAAGTACCATCCAGTTGGTTCTGACCCATAGCAACACTGTATAGGGTTTCTGAGGAGCAGCTGGTAAGCTTGAACCGCTGACATTGCAGTTCACACATCTTTGCAGTCTGATGCATTAACCCACAGCACCACACCAGGACTCGTTAGTGGTGGGTTATGACTTGAGGCGCTCTGGTGGGACAACAGGTAAGTTGCTGGCTGCAGGGCAAAGACTGGTGACCTGCCAGCCTAGAAATTCTTCAGCACAGTTCCACTTTGTCACATGGGGTCACTATGAGTTGAAAATCAACTCAATGGCACTTGATGACAAGTTTTGACTTTAGTTGTTGGCAAGATGATACTAAGCATGTCAGAATGCTTTCAGATTTTCATAGCACTGCATTGCATGCCAAGTCGATTCCGACTTGCAGAGGACAGAGCAGATCTGCCCCATACGGTCTCTTAGGCTGTAACCTTTCTGGGAGTAGGTTGCCAGGTCTTTTCTACCACGGAACTACTGGCTGGTAGGCTTGAACCACTGACCTTCCAGCTAGCAGCCAAGCTCTGAACTATTCTGTTACCAAGGCTCCTTTTTGACAACACTGGTGATGGTGGTGTGTTCCGTGGCCTCGGTTCCGACTCAAAGAAACCCTCCATAGGATTTCCAAGGCTGTAAATCTTTATGGGAGCAGAAAGCCTCATCTTTCTCCTGCAGAATGGCTGATAGGTTCGAAATGCTGACTTTGAGGTTAGCAGCCTGACTCGTAAACACTACGCAACCATAGCTCCTTTTGACAACACTAGATATATATGTAAAAGATACACTTTTTGGAAGACTAAATGTTCTACTGACAAGAACTTCCTGCTTTTTGTGGATGCTGAACAAATTACAGCAATTTTTGTCCTTAAATTTGTACTTTGTTGTTGTTAAGTGCTGTCAAGTTGGTTCCAACTCATAGCAACCCTGTATAGGTTTTCCAAGGAGTAACTGGTGGACATTAAATTATTGACATTGTGGTTTGCAGTCTAATGCTTATCCTAACATTTAGTTCAGACCAAAAAAACCCCAAATAACACTTTTAGCTTTTTAAAATGTTGCTATAACTAGAACTTCTGTTTTAATATCTATTATAGGAAGTCCTGGAGTTGCACTGTGGGTTAATGTGCCACACTACAAAGCTGTTTGGACTGCAAGGTCGGCAGAAACCCTATACAGGGTCACTATGAGTTGGAATCAACTCCCTGGCACTAACAACAATATGGTGTCCTGGTGAGGCACTGTAGAATAAGCACTGGACTGCTAACACAAGGTGAGTGATTCAAACCACTGCCACTTCTCAGAAACCCTGTAAAGGATCGCTATGAGTTGGAACTGACTCAACAGCACTTCACATCAACAATACTATCATATAAACTTCAGCAACTACAGGGGAAAATGCCCAAATGAATATATTGCTGGTTTATAATGTAATTATTGGTGTCCTGCTGTGGCGCTGTGGGTTAATGTGTTAGCTAGACTGCAAAGTTGGTTTGAACTGCAAGGTTGGCAGTTCAAGCTCACCAGCCACCGTTCCTTGGAAACCCTATACAGGGTCACTATGGGTCGGAACCGACTCAACAGCACTTAACAACAACAATGAAATTTTTGAATCCAAAGCAAACTCCTTCCTTACCTGTGGTATTTACACAATACACTGGACTATAGATGCCAATTCTTTTAAAAAAATGTAGTCTTGCATTAACTTTTAAACAGTATGTGGTCTCTGGTGAGAGCTGATAAATTTTACCTCCGGGATAAACAGTCTCAGTCCTTTCCTACAAGATTGAAAACACAAACATAAACAGTCTGTTCTTTTAAAACATACACAACCAAATTGTAGAATTCATTCATTTCTGGCTTCCCACAACAAAGATAACTAAAAATAATACTTACATCTGCACTGGAAGCGTTTTTCCAGATAACTAAGTTATATCGAAAACTTAACCTATCCGTAGCCCACATGAGACCATCTTTTTTTCCAGGAGGAGAGATATTGATTACTATCGCTGTATCTTGAGCTTCTAAATGTATTTCTGGAGGACCAATTTGAGCTGCAAAAGTCACAACAGTCATTATATAACTTTATTAATACAATGCCAAAGCAATTATTCAACAAAATATTTCTGAGTGCTTAATATGTGCCTGGCACAGTGAAACAGAAAAAGTCCCTGTACAAGTTATGGAACTTACACTCAAGTGGGAAATACGGCAGACAAATAAAGAAATATATATGATATTGTTGTTGCTGTTGCTTAGTGCCGTGGAGTTGGTTCTGACCCATAGCGACCCTGTATAGGGTTTCCAAGGAGTGGCTGGTGGGTTTGAATTCCTGACCTTGAAGTTCAAACTGGCCTTGTGGTCTAGCATGTTATCTTGCAGTGCCATGCCAGGACTCCATATATGATATTATGTGTAATATAAAGAAAACTCAAGTCATGTAAAGGGACAGAGATGGATAGCAAGTACTATTTAGGTGAGTTGGTCAGAAAATGTGTAAGGCAGTGAAGTTGGAGTTGAGATCATAAGGGAGCTAGACGGACTGAAGAGCAGTAAAGAAGACTGAGAGTGGCTGAAAATGCTATCAGACAGATAGCTAGATGCTGTATGACAAAGGCAGGGCTTTGAAGTCCTACTGGTGGTGGTGGTATGCCGTAGAGTTGGTTCCAACTCATAGCGACCCTGTACAGGGTTTCCGAGGCTGTAAATCTTTACAGGAGCAGGAAGCCTCATCTTTCTCCTGCAGAACGGCTGGTAGTTTCAAACTTCAGACCTTGAGGTTAGCAGCCCGACTCGCAACCACTACGCTATCAGAGCTCCTTAATAGTCGTAGTAGCATCTGTGAAAGTCACTGGAGAGGCTGAGATTGGAAAAGTGCCATGATCTGATTTACATTTTGGAAAGATCATCTTGGTTAATGTCTGAGAAAGCAAGGAGACCTGTAAACAGTAACTGTAAGAGTACATGTGAGAAATCAAAGTGGCTTGCTTGGTCAAGGCTTATGGCAGTGGTAAAGTGAGACAGGATCAGATTCAGACAGAATTTGTTAGACTGGATGTAGAATATGAGAACAAGAAATGTCAAAGATAACGCTAATGCTCTTGGCTTAAGCAAACAAATAGGTGATTAGTAGAGGTTCTTAACTGAGATGGTAAAAATTGTAGGTGGTGGTGGTGATCACTCGAGTCAGTTCTGACTCATGGTCTTCTTATATAGATAGGGTTTCTGAACTTGTGACTCTTAACAGGAGCAGATCACCTCATCTTTCTCCCACAGAATGGCTGGTGGATTCAAACTGCTGACCCTGTGGTTAGCAGCCCACCGCACAACCCACTATATTACCAGGGCTCCTTAAAAACTGTAGGCAGAACAGGTTTTGAAGAGAAAACCCAGAGCTTTAAAATGTGCATTTTTAAACATCTAAGTAGAGTTGGTAATACAAGTCTAAAGGTCAAGTTAAGGAATGAGGCTGGAGATATAATTTTGAGAGTCAATAACATATAGACAGTATTATGACAACGAGCAGAGTAAATATAGAAAGGAAAGAGCAGAGGTACAACATCTAAGTCCTTGGTGCTTGTTTTTAAGTGCTGTCGAGTTGGTTTCATCTCACAGTGACCCAGTATACAGTTTTAGGTGCAACATTTATAAAGCTGGGAGATGAGGAGACACTACCAAAAAAGGACTGAAAATGCGTGGCCAATGTAGCAGAAGGTGAATTAGGAAACAGTGGTGTTCCAGAAAAGTGAAGAAACGTTTCAAGAAAAAGGGAGTGATAACTACTTCTGGCGTGGTGTCATAGGTCAAGTACTCAACCTCAAGTTTGGTTTGAATCATGAAGTCAGCGGTTCAAACTCACCAGCTGCTGCTCGGAAACCCTAAACAGGGTTGTTATGAGTCGGAATCAACTTGACAGCTCTTAACAACAACAACAGCATGCTATACAGGACCACATCAGAAGAACACTGGAAACTCACAATGGACTTGTCATTGTGGAAGTCACTGACGACTGCATTTGTTTTTGTTAAGTGCCGTGGAATCGGTTCCGACTCATAGCATCCCTATGACGACACTATTTGGTTTGAACTGCTGACCTTGTGGTTCCAAGCCCAGTGTTGATCCTACAGCGCCACACCAGGAGTTAGTTTTGGCATTATAACTCCCTAAAGGAGTCTTAGGCTGTGAACCTTAAGGTCAGCAGTTCGAAACTACCAGCTGCTCTGCGGGAGAAAGATGAGGCGTTCTGCTCCTGTAAAGATTTACAGCCTCGGAAACCCTGTACAGGGTCGCTATGGGTCGGCACCGACTCGACAGCACTTAACAACAACAACAACAAAGGAGTCTTAGAGGCCCACAGAGGTCCCTGACCACATTCAAAAACCGTTAACTATTGTTGTTAAGTGCCTTCGAGTCGGTTCCAACTCATAGAGACCCTGTGTAGGGTTTCCAAGGAGCAGCTGGTGGGATTGAACTGTTAACCTTGAGGTAAGCAGTTCGGTGCTTACCCTATAGCACCACATTATGAAATACAGCAGGCAGAAGAAGGGAATCTTTGTTCTTTTTTTCTTGAGGGACTGGTTCTTTCTTTCTTTCTTTTTTAAAGACACTTGTCAATTTTCAGTATGAAAACAGTTGCCCTGTTGGTTTCTTTTTCTCCCAATTGGCCCCCAAAAGAGACTACCCCCAAAGAGTACATTTTAAGCCACTAAGCTGCAGGATGCACATCTAACATATCACAGAAACCTCACCAAAGAGGGGGTGGGGGGCTATTGGATAGGGAAAGCTTTGTTCTTTTTTAACAGATGGCATTTCATTATGTAAATGAGTGGACTTGGGAAAAAAGCTGTTCTGGTAATACTTAATCAAGAACTACATATAATGTAGCTAGCTAGTTTCTCTTACCTTTTAGATATGGGGTAAATGAGTCCACCTTAGACCACGGAGAAGTTTTGTTTCCTTTCTCTGATCTTAAGCGTAACTTCATTTCTTCAAAAACATTTAGCTTGACTGAAGAAAAGTTGCATTCGGTACTGGTAATATACTGACACCCAGGCAATTTTACCCAACTATTCATTTCAGGTCTTTAAAATAAAAAAAAAACACAGTATAACAGTGAATGAGTAAGTATATGAATGCAAGAGTATCCAGTAGATTTTTGTTTACTAACATTATAAAGCCAGTTTAAGGAGTTTTATCTTCTATGTGAAGTAAAAGTCCTGTTAACATCTTAGTTTATAGCTTTTCAGTCTTCTTCAGTGCGTTATATCAAGTTGTTATTTATCAAATGAAATAGTGTGACACTGTTAATTTTTTTAACGTGGTTCTAGGTAAAATTCTGAGAGCATATGCATTAGGATCCTAAGGAAGCAGAGTAGAAATGAGCCATAATGCAGATGGACATTTAGTGTTGGCTTTGTTAAAAGTACCTGTGTGACTTACGGCAAACGACTTTGTGTTTCTGGACCTTAGCTTGCTTATTGATAATTTGAGAATTGAATATTCGATGGGTCCATTCTGACTTCCTCCTTTGAGTACATCACTTGCCCTGAGGACTTATGAATTAGTATGACTTCAGAATTTACTCAGCCCTCTCTGAAATCAAACCACAGCCTTTGCTTGATCTCTGCTGCATCATTGTTGTTGTTGTTGTTAATCCATTGCTTCAGTTTCAACTCATAGCAACCCTGTATAGGGTTTATAAGGAGAGGCTGGTGGGTTTGAACCACCAACCTTGTGATTATCAGTCCAGTGCTTATCCTACTCTACCACACCAGGACTCCTGTTTCATCATCATTGTTGTTGTTGTTAAATGCCATCGAGTCGGTTCCAACTCATAGCAAACCTGTACAGGGTTTCCAAGGAGCAGCTGGTGGGTTTGAATCGCCGACCTTGTGGTTCAAACCAACCTTGAGGTCGAGTGCTTATCTTACAGCGCCACCCCAGTTTCATCATTAGAAACAAAGATGGTAATGGTGGTGGTGCTGACTCACAGTGACCCTGTACAGGGTTTCCAAGGCTGTAAATCTTTATGGGATCAGAACGCCTTATCTTTCTCCCGCAGAACAGCTGGTAGTTTCGAACTGCTGACCTTGCGGTTTGCAGTCCGATTCGTAACCACTACGCTACCAGAGCTCCTAAAGATGGTAATATAAACTAATAAATTCTTCAAAGTGGAACTGGTCAGTAAAAAGTTTGATTGATATTAGTGTCTTCTTTTTTAAAAGGGGAAACTAAAGAAGAAATCAAATTGGTATAGAAAGCCTAAAGCAGAAAGAACATGTTTTCTATAGAGAGAAGACACTGGGGTAAAAGCAAGGAATTAAAAAAAAAAAAATTTTTTTTTTTTTAAATCAAATGCTTTGCCTATGGTAAGTAAACCCTACCTACCTTAAACCAGGCACAGAAGCTATCCTCTAAGAAGACATTTCTGTCATGTCTAACTCATACTTCTAACACTGGCTGATTTGTTGCTTTTACAACAACATTGTAGACTTTGTTTTAAAGGTACTTTGTTGTTATTAAGTACCGAGGAGTCCGTTCAGACTTAGGACCCCGTACCCGGTTTCTGAGGCTATTTATTTATCTTTACAGGAGCAGAAAGCCTCATCTTTCTCCTGTGGAATGGCTGGTAGTTTCGAACTACTGACTTTGAGGTTAGCAGCCCGATTCATAACCACTACGCTACCAGAGCTGCTCCTTAAAGATACTTTGTTGTTGTTGTTGTTGTTGCTAAGTGCCGTGGAGTCAGTTCCGACCCATTGTGACCCTGAACAGGGTTTCCGAGGCTGTAGGCTACTAGAAATCAGGGATGCCAAAATAAAAGTCTACCTCATTTTTCAAAAAATGGAAACCTTTTTAAAATTATGAGAAATATATACTAGCATACAGAACACATCCTACGGAGCAACTGCCTAGGCTCTGGATGAGAGCTATAACTAACAACTCTTTAATTTAGGCATATATATCTCTAAGAAACTCCTCCATGTTAGAACCTATTTTTTAAAATCAGAGACGTATTACAAACTAAACTCTATAAAAAATTTTAAAACTAAATCTTGGTATGATTTCAGTATCACCTCTTACATTTCTTTTTCTTGCTCCAGGCGATGCAGCTGTGTGCTTTTTACGATGCTCTTGCAGATAAGGGAGGTATTGCAGATAAAGCTTTTATTTTCTTAAAACAAAAATCCTTTATCACATACAGTGTTTAGGTCAGGACAGACTATAATTTAAAATATGACCATACAGTCAACCTAATATTCACTTCACAAAGGCAGTGCCATTAATGTAACTTCATGCTATCTTGATCTCTCTTGTTCATTGATGTATGCTGGTGGTGGTGGTAGTGTGTCATGGAGTCGGTTCTGATTCATAGTGGCCCTGTATACGGTTTCTGAGGATGTAAATCTTTACGGAAGCAGAAAACCTAACCTTTCTCCCATTGAACAGTGGTTTTGAATTGCTGGTCTTGAGGTTAGCAGCCTGGCTATTAACCAGTACGCTACCAGAGCTCCTTTTTGACATATTGTTAAGTACCCAAAAATGTGCATGACATAAAGGGCATTCAATACTTGTTAAACGGAAGAATGAATGCTATACATTACATACATGTCAATAAATTGTAGGTGTGAGTAGAGCCCAGGTAGTGTAGTGGTTAAGAGCTCAGGTGCTAACTGAAAGGTTAGTGAATTGAACTCACTAGCTGATGACACTGAAATTTCAGAGGGGAATTTGTTTTACAGGTCGGACAATCTTACGAGCTTACTTATGTGTTTATATATCATTTTCACCAGTGGTATATGTCATACATTCTCAGAAAATCCTATCAGCTGCTGCTATTACACATCAACTGATCACTTACTCTGTGTCACTGTTCTGAGGACTTCAGATATAATGATTATTATTCAGCACTCATATAACCTTTTGAGTTAGATACTTTATTTTTGAGCCCATCTTGTTTTGCTTGGAAGTCCTGGCTTATCTTATCTAAAATTAAGTGCCTCTTTTCACTCTAAACAATATTCCAGTCTGGCACGTTGAGGGAATGACTTCCTGGGTTGGGGGGCTAAGAACCATGGTCTTGGGGGACACCAAGGTCACTTGTCATAGCATGGTCCACAAACACAATGTTCTATCTCCTACTTTAGTCAGCAGAGGTTGGCGTCTTAAAAGCTCATAAGCGGCCATCCAAGGTGCAACTATTGGTCTCTCCCTATGCAGAGGAATAAAGAGTGATGAAATAGATGGACTAATAGACCATGTGAACATCAGTCTTCATGACCCCGAGATCAGGAGAATTAGATAGTGCTCAGTTACCACTGGAGTCCTGGGGTGGCTCTACAGAACTCTATAAGCACACTGGGCTGCTAACCACAAGGTTGGCAGTTCAAACCCACCAGCAGCTCCCCGGAAATCCTACAGAGGGTTGCTATGAGTAGCAAACCGACTTGATGGCACAACAATAACAACTACCACTGAAAGGGACCACATTAGAAGGTCCTGGATAGAGGTGGGGGTGGGGGGGTGGGGTGGTAAATGTGGAACAAAACTCAAAATCATGAAAAAGACAAGGCTTACTGGCTGGCTGGAGACTTGTGGAACCCTGAGACTGTGTTCCTTATTTACCCTTCAGGTCTAGAAATGAAATAACCCAATGGCTCAAATCTCAGTCCAAGACTTACACAGGTCTGTTGGGGAATAATCACAATAGGTAGGTACACACAGCTTAGAATAATCAATGATTTGAGATCAAAAGGGCAGCATTTCCCTGAGGACATAGTTCAGAAGCATTAGGAAAGGAGTGCAATGGAAAGTAGGAATGGAAACAGAAAACACAGGGAAGAAGAGGGATTACATTGTTAATTGTGAGGATTGGAATCAATTCCATGAAACAAAATGTGTACGAATTTAGGTGGAAAATAGATCTGCTCCATCAACCTTCACCCAATTCACAATAAAAAGTGTTTGTTTTTTTAAAGTATCCAGGCTTGAATGATAAATGACATGGTCATATCAGTTTATCGTCTCTACTTAACAGATAAAGGAAACTACGACACTAAGAGGATAGATTTAAACCCAAACTGCCTGGCTTCTGTCCATACCACAGAATTATAGAATTGACCCTTGAATAACACAAGCCTGAACCTTGTGGTCCTACTTATACATGCATTTTGTTTTTCCTGTCATGTGATGCTAATCACCTCCACATGAACAGTTTGTCTCTCCACAGTAACTGCTCATAGAGATGATTAGCATGTTAAGTGGATACTCCCAACACTTGAGCTCATCAAAGAAAGTAGCAAATAAAGGATACATGGAATTGGGTCTGTCCAGTTCAAACTGGTATTGTTCCAGGGTCAACTAAATTATGCTCTGATTTCCAAGTGTGTGGGAGGTCAGCACACCATTCGATGATCAACTGTACTCTATTGCCTTCCCAAATTTGTAGTGTGGCATATTTTTGCAAGGTGATGGCCTAAAAAGCTAGCAGAATAAAACAGGAAAAGAACATGTTAAGATAATGTATTTAATGTCAAAAGTCAGAATGGAAGGGTAAGAGGTTATTACAGACTAGAAAATGTAGAAAAGCAATAACTTGTGAAAGAAATTTGAGAGCTGTGAACTAGAGAAGCCATCTCCCACCTTCATTCCTAAATCTTTTTGTTTCAGTGCTCAACAATGAAGTTGACTTAAGAATCTTAGTATTGTCAATGGAATATAAGCTTTCTGGAGCTATTGAAGAGTAGATGAATCCCCAAAATGACTGTCCAAAAATAATCTTTAAACTATAAATCCAAACTGTTCCCTGAAGTACTCTTTGAACCAAATGATGGTTTTGCTTCATTAGCAGAGGCCATGCGGAGGACCCTAAACATGAAGGGCTCATTGTTAAGCAGGGCCACAATGGGTCTCCCCTTAGAAGGCAAGGCCCCGAGAGGGATCTAATGTGGGGACCTGCGGTTTCTGTTTCTTTGTTTTAATCAGCTTATTTTTAATTTTATTGATTTTATAATAAAAGTTTTCAGTAGAATCTCAGTAAGAATTATATTAGAGATTTGAAACTTGTTTTAGGCACATTCACACCACATTCAATCATGCGTAGTCCTAAAGAATGCTTTTCACACTAATAAAAAGTTTCACCACTAGGGAAAACCAGCTAAAGTTTTTGCCAGTCCAAGTTTAAGATTACATTCAACATTCTGTGTAGTTTTGGTCAGGGACATCAAGACCTCTAGAAAATTAGCTAAGATGCAATTAAGGGCTAAGGGAATAGTAATAGATCATAGGTAGAAATTTAACTAGATGTTTTGTATAGAGAAGTTTTTAGTATAAGGAAGTTGTTCCGTTTCTTCTTAACTATAAAACTTTAAATGCATCTTCTTTTTCTTGTTTAATCAATCATGAGAAACAACTGCGTTGTCAGTTACCATAGCAAATAATGTTTAGGTACATGTTGTGATTAATGAATCTATAGAAAATAATAGGTGAAGGTAGAAATAGGAGTTAAGATTTAGAATTATGTTTTAAGGTTAACGTGACATTTTTAGAACAATGAGGTTTGCTTACAGAAATCAGATATTGTCTAACTACGTTAAGGGGAACAAGGAAGATTTTGATATTCTTGATGCTCTATATTGAAATGATTAATAGGTATGATTTAGACCACTACTTTGAAAAGAATGATGAATAGACTGATGGTATAGAGTAGTATAAAAGCTGTTTGAGAATCTGAAATAGGTAAGAGGAGAAATAAAAGGAAAAAGGAAAAAGAGAAATAAAATGTGAGAGGAGAAGATTCACCATTCATCGAGACCCATTGATTTTGTGAGCTTCATTTCTTTGCCGACGCCATGCATCTTTCTAGGATCCCCAAATAAGAGTGTCGGGGCTGGCCCCCAGCACTTCATTAGTAAAGTCTGTCTGCCTTCAGCATTATGCTCCATGTGACATTAAATGCACAAAAGTGATTTAAAACGTTAGATGAAAAGTTTAGAGAACAGTGAGTTTATGTAGTAACATTATTTGGAAAAGGAATGCAAAAATGGCTGCATGACTGAAAGAATATAATTAATGTCACTTAATTACAGATGTAGAAATGACTGAAATGGTGCACCTTTTGCTGTGTATATTTTCAACAAAAAATACTGAAGGGGAAAAAAACGCCTCTATTTTTAGAAATGAAGTTATAATATTGTAAATTATAATATTGTATAAATTAGACACACATTTTTCAAATAATGGAAAAACCAAACGTTTCCTAAGCCTGAGAACAAACTAGTGGTATAAAAACTAGGAAAATTATTCAGCAAACTCTGGCAAACCAACCCCAACAAGTAGAGCCACATACGTTTGATAATCTGCTGAAAAAGTCACATTCTTAACATTTTCATTGCTCTTGTTCCACTTCAGGAGAAAGGTGTCATCTATGATGTAGACCTCTACATTTTGAGGAGCTGTTAGGTTTTCTCCACCTACAAAGACAAGGAGGAAGAAAATAATTGCATATACATATATGTAGAATGACTTTTAAAACATATATATATATATGTATAATGCAATATGCATTATACATATATATATATGTTTTAAAAGTCATTCTTCCCTTTGCATCATTGATTAAAGGATGAATACGTTTATATCTGGCAGAGTATATAAAAAAATCCAAAAGACCTAATGATTATTGTTAGTGCAAGGAGGCTGCTACTTATTTTTATCTGAGAGAGCTGGAAAAAAAGATGAGGTTTTTTTTCCCCCTTCTATGTTGTTGTTAAGTGCCACAGAGTTGGTTCCGACTCACAGCAAGCCAAGCTCTGCCTGATCCTGCATCATCCTCAAAATTGCTATTATGTTTGAGAATAACGTAGCTGCCACTGTGTCAATCCATCTTGTTAGGGCAATTTCTCTCTCTCTCTCTCTCTCTTTTTTTTTTGCCGATGCTCCACTTTTCCAAGCATGATGTCCTTCTCCAGGAACTGGTCTCTCCTGATAATATATCCGAAGTACAAGATATGGAGTCTTGCCATATTCATGTCTAAGGCGCATTCTGGATATGATTCTTCTAAGACAGATTTGTTTGTTCTTTTGGTTGCTGAGGGGACTTCCAAGATTCTTCTCTAACACCATAATCCAAGCGCATTAATTCTTCTAGTCTTTCTTATTCATTGTCCAACTTTCACATGCATGTGAGGACACTGAAAATACCATGTATTGGTTCAAGAGCACTTTAGTCTTCAAACTGACATCTTGGCTCTTGAACAATTTTCAGATTTGCCTGATGCAGTATGTTGTTTGATTTCTAGGCTGCTGCTTCCATTAATATTGATTGTGGATCCAAGCATATTGAGGTGTTTGACAACTTCAATCTTTTCTCCATTTATCATGCTATTTATTGGTCTAGTTGTGAGGGTTTTTGTTTTCTTTACATTTAGGTGCAATCCATACTGAAGGCTATAGTCTTTAATCTACATCCGTAAGTAATTTTAGTCCTATGCGCTTCCAGCTAACAGGGTGTGCCATCTGCATATTGTTGTTGGTGTTGTCATTAAGTGCCATCAAGTCAGTTCCAACCCACAGCGACCCTGTATAGGGTTCCAAGGAGTGGCTGGTGAGCTTGAACCACTGTCTTGTGGTTCAAACTGACCTTGCAGTGTAGTGCTTTATCCCACAATACCACACAGGTTGTTAAATGAGCCTTCCTCCAATCCTGATGCCACACTCTTCTTCATGTAATCAAGCTTCTTGGATTATTTGCTCAACATACAGACTGAATAAATATGCTGAAAGGATATAACCCTGGTTCATGCCTTTCCTGAGTTTAAACCCTTCAGTACTCCCCTGTTCTGTTTGAATGGCTGCATCTTGGTCTACGTACAAGCTCCTCATAAACACAATGAAGAACTCTGGAATACTCTTTTTTTTTTTTGCAATGTTGTCCACAGTTTGAATGCCTTAGCATAGTCAATAAAGCACAAGTAAACATCTTTCTGGTATTCTGCTTTCAGCTAAAATCCATCTGATATCAGCAATGAAATCCCTAATTACATGTCCTCTTCTGATTACAGCTAGAATTTCTTCCAGTTGATGTACTGCTGGAATTGTTTTTGAATTATCTTCTGCTAGATTTTACTTGTATGATACTAATGATATTTTTAGATGATTTCCGCATTCCATTGGGTCACCTTCTTTGGAATGGACACAGACATGGATCTTTTCCAATTAGTTGACCACATAGCTGTCTTCCTAATTTTTTGACATAGACAAGTAAGTGCCTTTAGTGCTGCAGCAGTTAGTTGAAATATTCCAATTTGTGCTCTGTTGATTCCAGGAACCTTGTTTTTCGCCAATGTCTTCAGTGCTGCTTGGACTTTTTCCTTGAACACCTTGGTTCTTGATCACAAGATACCTTTGAAATGGCTGAACACCAACCAATTCTTTTTGGGATGTATTCTTCCCATCTTTTTTTGATGTTCCCAGAGTTTGCCCATAGAATCCTTCAACATTGCAACCCAAGCCTCAGATTTTTTCTTTAGTTCTTTTAGCTTGAGAAATGCTGAGTGTGTTTTTTCCTTTTGGTTTTTTAACTCCAGCTTTTAGCACATTTCATTATAATATTTGACTTTGTCTTCTCGAGCTGACCTTTGAAATATTCTGTTCAGCTTTTTTTTTTAATGTTTTATTGTGAATTACGTGATAGTTAACATGGGAGAACATTACCTTAACTTTCATCCTATCATATATCATTTCATTGCCATGGTTACAATCTCCTCCATGCATCATCAAACAATCAAAGGGTATATCCTACAAGCCTGCCCCCAGTCGTCAGTACACAGTCCCTCTCCCTCTCTGGATCTAAAGTCCCCAACTGCTCCATCTCTCCACATCATTGTCTCTGTCTCCATCTCTGGCATCACTGCTTCTCTGGGTAGGGTCCTGCTCTCCGCTCTTCTCCCTTGATGGTCCCAGGGACCTCCGCTCCTAGACTTAAGTAAAGTCAATCACTCCCCTCCTTTTGCTACAAAACATCTACCTTTGCAATCCTCATAATCAGTCCTGATAACAATTATTCACTATTGTACCAAAAGAGACCTATCCCCATCTCCTTTCTTCAGCCCCACCTAGAGTCTACGTTCCTCCATGCCCTCTGGATCTAGGCTCCTCTCATCAGCTCTTTTACTTCCTCATTTCTTCCAGTCACTTTAGCTTCAGAGTCCCTTCTGCCATCTACTTTGGTCTTTTCTTTTTAATGACTTTTTGCTTTCTTCCTATATGACTTTCTTGATGTCATCTCAGAGCTCTTCATGATCTTTGGTCATTAGTGTCTAATGCAACAAATCTGTTCTTGAAATGGTTTCCAAACTCAGGTGGGATATACTCAAGGTTATATTTTGGCTTTCGTGGACTTGTTTTAATTTTCTTTAGCTTCAGCCTGAACTTGCATATAATTGATGGTCTGTTACTGGTCTAGTTTTGGGTGATGATATTGAGCTGCTTCATCATCTCTTCCCTCAGATAGAATCAATTTGATTCCTATGTGTTCTATCTGGTGAGGTCCAGGTGTATAGTTTGCCTTTTATGTTGTTGAAAAAGGTATCTGCAATGAATAAATCATTGGACGTGCAAAATTCTATCTCTGGTTCCTCCAGTCTCTTACTGCCCAGTAAGCTCGGTCTGTTTTCACAATTTTGAGTGATGTTCCACATTATCTCCCACTCTATCAGGGACCTTCTAAAGTGGTTCCTTTCAGAGTAGTTGATAGTGGTAGCAGGTCACCATATTGTTCTTCTGGTCTCAGGTCATGGAGACGGATGTTCATGTATTCCATTAGTCCATTGGACTAATTGATTCCAAGTGTCTTCTGTTTTCATTCCTCTTCTTTCCTCTACACATTAAGAGATCAATTTGTTGTTGTTGTTGTTATGTGCCGTGGAGTCGGTTCTGACTCATAGAGACCCTGTACAGGGTTTCCAAGGCTATGAATCTTTATGGGAGCAGAAAGCCTCATCTTTCTCATGTGGACCAGCTGGTAGTTTTGAACTGCTGACCTTGCGGTTCACAGCCCGATTCGTAACCACTATACTACCAGAGCACCTTAAATGGTGGTTCATGAAAGCAGGATATAGACTTTTGTCATTGGGGACTATGCTATGCTAATTAACCATGGTGTTCCCTTAGACTACAGTCTCCCTGCCCAGCAACTCATGTCCTCAAGCTGTCTGGTAATGTCTAGGAGTCCTGGTGTGGCGCTGTGGGTTAATGCGCCACACTGCAAAGCCATTTGAACTGCAAGAATACTGTTCAAGCTCAACAGCTGCTCCTTGGAAACCCTATACAGGGTCGCTATGGGTCGGAATCAACTCGACAGCACTTAACAACAAGAGTTTAAAGAAAAGTTGATAACTAGACCTTTAATAGGAGTCCTGATATACACAAGTTGCTGTGAGTTGGGACCAACTCAGTGGCACTTAACAACAATAGGTCTGTAACATAATTGGAGAATCAAAATTTAAATTACTTTTGGGAAAAATAGTAGATCTGGTTAAGCACCATGGTTTGATTTCTTCCTCTGTCAGTAGCTAGCTGAAGGACCATAGAAAAATCAGTCAATCTCTGTGTTTCTTTACTCCGTAAACTAGAATCGGGCTCTTCTGAGAGGTAAATGAACATATGCATTTAAAATACTTAGAATAATGCCTGACACACAGTAAAAATCAACCCACACCAAACCACTCTGCCCATCAACTTCGTAATAGTTGCCATTCCCTGATGCCTCCCAGCTACCCATTAAGAAATGCAGCAACAAGTCTGGAGCCTGCCGGCAAAAAAATTATTGCAACCTTTATTCCAGGCCTACTTGGGACAGAGTTGTAGTTGTTGTTAAGTGCCGTCGAGTAGGTTCCGACTCACAGTGACCCTGTATAGGGTTTCCGAGGAGCGGCTAGTGAGTTTGAACTGCCGACCTTGCGATTCAAACCGACCTTGTGGTCCAGTGCTTATCCTACAGGGCCACACCAGGACTGAGCAGCTGTTTACTAAATCGAGGAAACGTGTTTTAGGGGCAGTGGCATTGTTTATGGCTGATCTTGCTTATAGCTAAATCCTTATTTATTAAACGAGCCCACCAGGCAGCCGGACTTTTTGGATTAAACAAACTTGACACCAGGTCTCCTCTCCCCCAGCGGAGGGGGCGGGGGCGCGGGCGCGGCTTGACCACTGTGCGCGAGGACTGAGCCCCAGCTCCAAAGCAGCGGTGGGCGTGCCTTTCTTTGAACACCACCTTCTCCCGTTTGATTTTCAAGCCTAGATCAGCTTCAATATGAGCGCTGCGACCAGAGACCACAAACTAGTGCGTCACGAGCGACGAGAGGTTTTCAGAAAGGATGTCTGTCCCCTCCCTCCACAGGCCAAGCCTTCCAACTCCGCCACCACAGTCCAGCCGGCCATATCTCACCTGCAGCTGCGGGCGACGCCCAGGGCGCCCCGGCGATCAGCATCAGGGTCGCGGCGTCCAAGAGGGTGAACATAGTCTGGGGACCGCCGCCAACCTCGCGGATCACATCCTCCAACACCTTCTCACAACCTCCTCAGATTGCGCTGGGGACCCAGAGGGAGGTCTAGGCGCGCACGCTCCACCCCTCCGCTTGCGCAGACACCGGGCTAGCCTAGCAGCAGGCTTCCCCCCGCCCCCCAATCTGGGGTTATGGATCACGTGCACGCGCTTAGGGAAGCCGCGTGTCCTCGTACTCCCTTCCTGAATGTCGTCTTTCCGGCCATTGACTGCTGTCTCGCGGTTCACCCTCTGGGTCTGGAAGCCTTACCTCAACTAGCGGCCTAAACCCTGAGCGCGCTATTATTCCGGCCCCCTCCCGCTAATGGCTGCCCGAGGGCGCTTTGGCTCCGCCCCGATTGTGCCAGGCAGTTTCCTTTTGTGCTCTGCGCTGTGAACGCAGACCGGGGATTTCCAGAGTCGTACACAGATAGGTTGTTGTTGTTAGGTGCCATCGAGTCGGTACCGACCCATATCGACTTTATGCACAGCAGAACGAAACACTGCCCGATCCTGGGCCAACCTCACTGCTGTAGAGTGCTTGTTTTCTGGGCAACCTAGCTGAAGGAATCCCTTAGGATTATGAGAGGCTAGGAGTCCTGTTGTGGCGCGGTAGGATAAACACTGAACTGTTAACGCTAAAGTCGGTGGTTTGTACCCACCAGTTATTCCTCGGAAACCCTATACAGGGTCGCTATGAATCGGAAGCGACTCCACGGCACTTAACAACAGTGGGCATGAAGGGAAAGCTCATTTATTTAGAGGTTTTATTGTTTTGTTTTCCACTGCTGTGAGTCACTTGTTAAGAGAAAAATTCAGCAGATGTCTTTCCTTAAACAAAAATTCGTATTTCATCTTTATGTTTACAGCATTTGATTGACATAAAAGCGATTTCAAGGTCTTTCTCCATCCTAATACAAAATATTGTAAAGATTGGATTGTTTAAATAAAAATTTTCCACATACACCCTGTAGCACTTTGTGAGCTTAAGATTTCAATTTATTTGCTGTACTAGATTGTGGTGGAGATACTAGTTCTTAAGTAGGCTCCGATTCTCTCCCCTTCAAGTACAGCAGAACAAAAAAATTGCCAGGTCCTGCACTAACCTCACAATTCTTGGTATATTGAGCCTACTATGGTGGCCACTGTGTGTATCGAGTACTTCCCAACCTAGGGGACTCATCCTTGGCGTCTTCCTTGGCTGAGTTTTAGAAGTAGATTGTCAAGTCTTTCCTAGTTTGTCTTAGACAGGATGCTCTACGGACGCCTGGGTGACCATGGGTAACCCTGTAGATTTGAAATGCCAATGGCATAGCTCCTAGTATCTTATAAACCTGCAAACAACCACATGATAAACTGACAGATGGTTGGTGGTTGTCTGCGGAGATAAATTTATTTACCATGTGTGGGTACTAATTCTGTCACCTCACCTCAGCTCCTCCTTTTTTTCCCTTTGAGTAAAAAAATGATCCATCAGAGGTTGCACTTATAGTTTTTCCATAAAACATTTTGAAAAGTTTTTATTTGGAAATAATTTCAAATATTCAGAAAAGTTACAAGAATAGTGAGAGAACTGTATACTCTGTGACTAGAATCGCCAAATTGTTAACATTTGGCCACATCTATACAGGTGCTTGCTTGCTCTTTATATATAGACATACTGTGATCATGGTGGTGGTGTGCCGGGAAGATGGTTCCAACTCACAGCAACCTTGCATAGGGTTTTGAGGCTGTAAATCTTTATGGGAACGAAACGCCTCATCTTTCTCCTGCAGAACAGCCGGTAGTTTTGAATGAGGCTTGTAACTGCTGCGCTTGCTACCAGAGCTCCTAATATAGACATATGGTGGCGGTGGTTATGTGCTGTGGAGTCGGTTCCGACTCATAGCGACCCTGTACAGGGTTTCTGAGGCTGTAAATCTTTACAGGAGCAGAAAGCCTCATCTTTCTCCTGCAGAACAGCTGGTAGATTCAAACTGCTGACCCTGAGGTTAGCAGCTCAATTCGGACCCACCATCCTACCAGAGCTCCTTATAGACATGTAGAGAGAATATATATATTTGGGCCTCAAAACCTTGATTATCTTTCTTTTTTTTTTTAATTTAAAATTTTTATTGTGAATTGAGTGAAAGTTTACAGGGTAGATCATCAATTTTACATTCAACAAATCATATACTTTGTTTCATTATAATGATTATAATCCCCTTCATGTACCATCAGTTAACAGTATTTCTCTCTATTCATTTTAGCACTTTTTTTTTTTTAAACACTCATGCATATATAATAATTTACACCACCAAAGGGTACATTCTGCAAGTCTGCCTCGGGCTGCCAGCTCTCAGTCCCTCTCGTTCCATGAATCTAGAGTCCTGAGTTGCTCCCTCTCTCCATCTGTCCCCATCTCTACCTTCATCTCTGGTGTCACTGCTTCTCTGGATGAGGTCCCACATTCTGTTTGTGCTCTTTTCCCTTGATGGTTCCAGGGTCCTCTGCTTATGGACTGTAAGATTACTCCCCTGTTTTTGTTATAAAACGTCTACCTTTACGATTGTGATAGTTGCAATTAGTCATGATAACAATTACTCACTATTGAATCATAAGAATCTTATCCCTATCTCTTTTTACCAGACCCATCTAGACAAGATGAAAACTATTCCGTGGGGACTCTATCTTCCTCCACACACTCTTAAACTAAACTCCCTCTTGAAACCTTGTAAGCCAGTCACTTCATGCCTTTATTGTCCCTCATTTTAGGTAGCCAATGTCAAAATTGCCTGTCCCTATCTACCCTGTGTACAGAGGGGATAGCATTGACACTTGATGTGAAGACTCCTTCCCTCTCTGTTGGTATTTTGAGTTACTACCTCCATGAGGATAGGTCAAGTTCATCAAATTGTAGCAATTTACCCTCATTTCCTTTATCAAAAATTGTTTTATTTTTTATCTTCCTCTAGTCAACTTCTGATTATCAAGCCATCATAGCTAGGTCAAATGGGTACTATCTGCAAGTTTGGGTGTTTTGTGCATCTCCCCTCACTTCATATCAGCTGGCTGCTTCTCTCCCAGCTCTAGCCCTCTGTGGTTAATTATCTTTCAATTCTATTTTTCCATACACTTTTTGAAGTCCCCTTGTATACACATCCTAGACATTGGTGGTGTTGTGGTGGTTATGTGCCATGGAGTCACTTCCAACTCATAGTGACCCTGTATAGGGTTTCTGAGGCTGTAAGTCTTTATAGGAGCAGAAAACCTCATCTTTCTCCCATGGAGCCACTGGTAGTTTTGAACTGCTGACCTTGAGATTAACAGTCCAACTCATAACCACTACACTACCAGAGCTCTCCTAAACATTAATGAGTTGAAATGGACTGGTATTGGCCACTTTGAATTGGACAGTCATATGGTTTACTATGCCGGGAACAAGAAATTGAAGAGAAATGGCATCACGTTCATTGTCAAGGTCTATTTTGAAGTACAATGATGTTAGTGATAGGATAATATACATACACCTACAAGGAAGACCATGGAGTTCTGATGTGATACTGTAGGGTAAGCACTGGACTGCTAACTACAAGGTCAGTGGTTCAAACCCACCAACTGCTCTTAGGAAACTTTCGACAGAGTCGCTATGAGTCGAAATTGACTTGACAGCATTTAACAACAAGGAAAGTCAGTTAATCCCACCATTATTCAAATTTTTGCACCAACTTCTTAAAGCCAGTGATGACGAAATTAAAGAATTCTACGACTCCATGGCACATAAACACTACCACCACCACCAATTTCTGAGTCAGAAACTGATCAAACATGCAATCAAGATGCATTGATAATTACTGATGACTGTAATGGGAAAGTTGGAAACAAAGAGGAAGGATTGTTGTTGTTGCTAGGTACCATCAAGTCGGTACCGACTCATACTGCCCCTATGCACAACAGTTGGAAAATACAACGTTGACAGTAGAAATGATGCTGGTGATCACCTGATAGAATTTTGCAAGATCAAGGATTTATTCATTACAAATGCCTTTGGACTGTACATTTAGACCTCACCAGACGGAATACACAGGAACCAAATCGATTTTATCTGTTGGAAGTGATCTTGTTGTTCTTGTTAAGTTTAGCCGACAAGTCAGATTCCCATAGCCACCCTGTTTAGGGTTTCCAAGGAGTGACTGGTGAGCTTGAACCACCAACCTTGCAGTTCAAACCGACTTTGCATTAACCCATATTCAAACCATATTAACCCACAGTGCCACACTAGGACACTGGATGGAAAAATTCAATATCATCAGTCAAAACAAGACCAGGGGAAAGTTGTGGAACAGACTATTGATTACTTATATGCTAGTTCAAGTTGAAGCTGAAGAAAATTAAAATAAGTCTATGAGAGCCAAAATATGATCTTGAATATATCCCAATCTCAAGAAAAGATTTGATGCATTAGACCAGAGGTGGGGAACCTTTTTTCTGCTAAGGACCATGTGGATATTTATACCATCATCCACTGGTCATACAAAATTATCAACTTAAAAATTAGCCTATTATATTTAGTCAAACATTTAATAAACTCACCCTTAATGTGATGGCTGGAATTTCTTCTCTTTGGTAAGGCATGTGATGTTAACTAGTATACATGATATCGCTACTTGCAACTGTTTTCCCAGATTTGTGTCCATCAGTCTGGAGCACAGTTGACTGTTTGTGACGATAAGCAGTAAGTTGCTGTGAATACAGATGCATCTTTCAATGCATGTCTCCTCAAAGTATGAAATTCATCATAGAACTCAAGCAGTGGGTGGTTATTGTACCTAGATTTCAGCTCATCACCATTTTTCAGCTGAATGATTTCATGTTGTAGATTATCAGACACATCAGCTGGTTTCAGCTGGTAGCAAACATGTTCAATTCCATTTGTTTACTTTTCATATCCCTGAATCTTTTATTAAACGCCTCAGTTATTTTTGCACATTCACCAGC